GAACAACCAATCACAGCCTGGCCCTTACACAACAATCAATCACACCAGTCCGCTTAGCCAGCAGTGGCTCAAACAGCCAGACCAGCTGATGCACTGAGATTGTTGGTTTGTTCCTAATGCAATGCCTATTGGCTGTGAATCAGGAAATGGGCAGAGACTCACGCCTGCCGGGGATGATTTACCCTAAATTTTCCAAGGGCTTTCGTAGTAGAGGGGATGTCACCTGGTGTTGGAAGGCAACATGTTTTTATATCAGGCATTTATGGATTCTTACTGCCTGGTGTCCTAGTGGAGCGAGAGATTGGCGAGGCCTCTGGAACATGGATGAAAGATGGTCATCTTGTTGGCAGTGTGTCTGTGCCCTGCCACATCACAAATTTATTCTGATGAACATTCAGGGAAAGAGGGATAAAAGGGAAAGTTAAAATTATAATGGGCAATAAAAGGTTTCTTTTCCTTTTGGATAATTTCATTCTAATTCAACATCAGAAAGACTGCCCATCAACAGGACTTCTAAAACATCACGTCGGAGTCTCTCTAGACAGTTTTGTACTCAACTGTATAATGTATACAAATGAAGTGGGTTGTTGGTTAGAAGAGCAACATAACCTATCCAATTCTTCAAAACAAGGAATGTGAACTATGGGTTTTTCAGCAAGGGATTACAGTTTGAAAGTTTGGGAAAATGCTTCACTCTATGTGCTGGATGGGGAGGTCATTGGCAGGAAGGAAGCACCTGTGTATTATTTAGGATATAGAAGAGTTTGCTTCTTTGTCCTAAAGGATACCAACTTAACGTTAGTCATGGAATTAGGATGTGTTCCTTGAACCTAACAATAGCTAGAGGTGCATGGTGTCCCCTGGGCAGTGTCTCTGAAGTCCAGGTAAAGGGATGGAATTATGTGGAGCCCTATATTGCCAATCTGTGTGCAAATATGAACTATAACCACCCTGTTAATCTGGGAGCCCAGAATCTTGGTATGGGTAGGAAGATACGGAAATGGTTGACAGATTGGGATAGGGAGGAAAACCTTATGAGGAGACTGAAGCTTTAGAGAGCTAATGCTACTATAGTTTTATGCATCCCGTTGTGGTATTGCTTATTTTTGCTGTGGTCTGGTCATTGGTTCAGGTTTACATGTGTTGTTTGGCCCAACATTTATATATGAAAGTGTCGCATCTGTCTATGCGAGTTGAGGTAAAAATTGACAGTAAAGTATCTTCGTACAAAGTAGAAACTTTGCTGCCGATTAGGAGCTCTGAACTATCAGATGCATGCAGAAATTGCAATAGAGAAGGCCATACGGAGCAGACCTGTCTAATCCTGAGCCGTGTATACAGTGCAGGGCTATAGGAGGTTAGGCGTGGGATGCTCAGTTTGGTGGGTCATGTACTGATAGGAACATATCATGATGATAGGGTCAAAACATATACATGTATATATTATGATAATGGGTTGATTTGTGTGCTAATATAGTTCAACATACATTTATAAGGTTAATAATATGGTTGGGCAAGGCCCTCCTCAAGGTTTAGTATCTAAAAGCTGGTTAATTTATGGTTCTGAGCATGTGCTGATGAATGATGATGAGTGAGTGAACACACTTGCTCGTAGCAGACCGTATTGTGAAGATGCCATTAAGAAGGCCAATATTGTCAGAGCTTAGATATACTAATTCTAGGGACCGATAGTACATAATTCTAAAATAAATAGGGGGCTTCCAAACCCCACCCCCACCCTGAATATTTATTTCTCCCGGTATAACAGGATATAAATGTCAGATATGAAGCGGGGTCTGAGGTATGGCAGTACTGGTTTTCACAACCTTTTCCAATAAAGCCCCAGTGCTCTCCAAAGCCTCAGAGACCTGTATATTGTCCATAGCAGCACTGTACATAAAGCACAACACAGGTCATGTGGCAACCTGATTAATGCCAGTACTGGGACAGCTCACCCCCTCTGTATTAGGAGTGCTGGAGGTCACTCCTCCTCTGGAGTGTGCCACATACCCTGCTGTGCACCCTGTACCCTGCTCTGTGTCCCGTGCCCTGCTGTATACCCTGCTATGTGCCCTGTATCCTGCTGTGTGTGCTGTACTCTGCTGTGTGCCCTGTACCCTACTGTGTGCCGTGTACCCTGCTGTGTGCCCTGTACCCTACTGTGTGCCGTGTACCCTGCTGTGTGCCCTGTACCCTACTGTGTGCCGTGTACCCTGCTGTGTGCCCTGTACCCTGCTGTGTGCCCTGTACCATACTTTGTGCGCTGTACCCTGCTGTGTGCCCTGTACCATACTTTGTGCGCTGTACCCTGCTGTGTGCCCTGTACCCTACTGTGTGCCCTGTACCCTGCTGTGTGCCCTGTACCATACTTTGTGCGCTGTACCCTGCTGTGTGCTCTGTACCTTGCTGTGTGCCCTGTACTCTGCTGTGTGCCATGTACCATGCTTTGTGCCCTGCTGTGTCCTGTACCTTGCTGTGTGCTCTGTACCCTACTGTGTGCCCTGTACCTTGCTGTGTGCCCTGTACCCTGCTGTGTTTCCTCTGCACCCTGCTGTGTTTCCTGTGTCCCCTGTACCCTGCTGTGTTTCCTGTGTCCCCTGTACCCTGCTGTGTGTCCTGTGTGCCCTGTACTCTGCTGTGTGCCCTGTGTCCCCTGTACCCTGCTGTGTGTCCTGTGTCCCCTGTACCCTGCTGTGTGTCCTGTGTGCCCTGTACCCTGCTGTGTGCCCTGTGTGCTCTGTACCTTGCTGTGTGTTCAGTGTGCCTTATACCCTGATGTGTGTCCTGTGTGCCCTGTACCCTGCTGTGTGCCCTGTACCCTGCTGTGTGTCCTGTGTGCCCTGTACCCTGCTGTGTGTCCTGCGTCCCCTGTACCCTGCTGTGTGTCCTGTGTGCTCTGTACCTTGCTGTGTGTCCTGTGTGCCCTGTACCCTGCTCTGTGTTCAGTGTGCCCTGTACCTTGCTGTGTGCCCTGTACCCTGCTGTGTGTCCTGTGTGCCCTGTACCCTGCTGTGTGTTCTGTCTTCCCTGTACCCTGCTGTGCGCCCTGTGTGCCCTGTACCCTGCTGTGTGTCCTGTACCCTGCTGTGTGTCCTGTACCCTGCTGTGTGCCCTGTACCCTGCTGTGTGTCCTGTGTGCCCTGTACCCTGTTGTGTGTCCTGTCCCCCCTGTACCCTGCTGTGTGTCCTGTGTGCCCTGTACCCTGCTGTGTGTCCTGTGTGCCCTGTACCCTGTTGTGTGTCCTGTCCCCTGCTGTGTGTCCTGTGTGCCCTGTACCTTGCTGTGTGTTTCAGTGTGCCTTGTACCCTGCTGTGTGTCCTGTGTGCCCTGTACCCTGCTGTGTGCCCTGTACCCTGCTGTGTGTCCTGTGTGCCCTGTACCCTGCTGTGTGCCCTGTACCCTGCTGTGTGTCCTGTGTGCCCTGTACCCTGCTGTGTGCCCTGTACCCTGCTGTGTGTCCTGTGTGCCCTGTACCCTGCTGTGTGTTCTGTGTGCCCTGTACCCTGCTGTGTGTTCTGTGTGCCCTGTACCCTGCTGTGTACCCTGTACTCTGCTGTGTGTCCTGTGTGCCCTGTACCCTGCTGTGTGCCCTGTACCCTGCTGTGTGTCCTGTGTGCCCTGTACCCTGCTGTGTGCCCTGTACCCTGTACCCTGTGTGTCCTGTGTGCCCTGTACCCTGCTGTGTGTCCTGTGTCCCCTGTACCCTGCTATGTGTCCTGTGTGCCCTGTACCCTGCCGTGTGTCCTGTGTCCCCTGTACCCTGCTGTGTGTCCTGTGTGCCCTGTACCCTGCTGTGTACCCTGTACCCTGCTGTGTGTCCTGTGTGCCCTGTACCCTGCTGTGTGCCCTGTACCCTGCTGTGTGTCCTGTGTGCCCTGTACCCTGCTGTGTGCCCTTTACCCTGCTGTGTGTCCTGTGTGCCCTGTAGCCTGCTGTGTGTCCTGTGTCCCCTGTACCCTGCTATGTGTCCTGTGTGCCCTGTACCCTGCTGCGTGCCCTGTACCCTGCTGTGTGTCCTGTGTGCCCTGTACCTTGCTGTGTGTTCAGTGTGCCTTGTACCCTGCTGTGTGTCCTGTGTGCCCTGTACCCTGCTGTGTGCCTTGTGTCCTGCTGTATGTCCTGTGTGCCCTGTACCCTGCTGTGTGTTCTGTGTGCCCTGTACCCTGCTGTGTGCCCTGTACCCTGCTGTGTGTCCTGTGTGCCATGTACCCAGCTGTGTGTTCTGTGTGCCCTGTACCCTGCTGTGTGCCCTGTACCCTGCTATGTGCCATGTACCCTGCTGTGTGCCCTGCTATGTGCCATGTACCCTGCTGTGTGCCCTGCTATGTGCCCTGTATCCTGCTGTGTACCCTGCTGTGTGCCCTGCTATGTGCCCTGTATCCTGCTGTGTACCCTGCTGTGTGCCCTGCTATGTGCCCTGTATCCTGCTGTGTACCCTGCTGTGCGCTGCACCCTACTCTGTGCCCTGTAACATTATCAGTGAGGTAATTTACGAAACTGTGTTTAGCGGCGGAATTAGGAGCAGGCAGGGTTGGGTGGGGCAACTGGTGGTGAGTAACTCTTAAGGCCTGGCTAGTAGCTAAGGACTTGAAATTTCTGTATAATAGATATATTTTTTAGGGTTCATCATTGTTGCTCCCATGGTACTCTCTACTGTCTACTGTTACCTTTCCCCACCAACCCAAAACAGAAGTATTTAATCTAATCTCTTCCCTAATAGATGGTAGTACTCACCGAAAAGTACCGAAAAGCAGGTTGGATAAAATGACAAAACAGGTAAAAAAAACATATAAGAGCTTGGGATTCACTAGTAAAAGAAAATGTAGTTCATCCAAGCTTTCAATGGACATGTACACAATCTGCCAGCCGTTGAACGTTAAATTTACTGCTTTTAGGCCAACTTTGCTGGTTTGCTTACCAAGTATAACTAATTTAACTGTAAGCAGATATATGAACAAACACTTTCACAATAGTTTTTAGCATTACAGGAATGTGTGCAAAAACATGTTTGGCTTAAGTGTTCATGTTTAACCACTTCCCATCCGTCCCATGTATATAAATGGCTGGACGGGAGCAGTGCAAGAGTGGGTGGCTGTTTATAAATGTCCTCCCGCTTCCCTGCCTGTGTGCGCTCCCTGGGAGCACGCGGCACCGCAATCCGGTGCTGTAAGGGATTTCTGGTAAGATGAATTGCGAATACAAGTGCGCATGCGCATAGGAACGTCCGTAGAAGAGTGGTCAGCTGTGCGCATGCACGTGGAAATGCGTGATCGCGCACACACATGCGCACGTGCACACGCACGGCAAAGATTGGCGCCAGACGGGCTATTTTAAGAGTGCCTCTGCCCATGTTAGATGCTGACTGGTCTTCAGCTCCCCCGTGTCCTGCTTGTTCCTGTGTGATTCCTTTGTTGCTAACCCGGCTTGTCCCTCACCTGACTCTGATTGCGCTCCTGATTGATACTGGTTCCTGACTTCGGCTCTGCTCCTGACTTTGGCTTTCCTTCTGATTCTGTACCGTGCTGCCTGACTGTTGATGACCCTGGCTATTCCTATGACATTGCTCCTGTCTCTTGTCCTCACTACCTGCCTTGCTCTGGTGCACGCCTGGCAATCTACAAGACCTGCTCTGCTTGTTACTACTGTGCCTGAATCAGAAGATCATCAGTCTTCCAAGGTCATCATCTGCAGGAGCTGCAAACAACAACTACTGGCGCTCTTGTCCCCCTGGTCCTAGAATCCCTCTGTTCCAACCCCAGTGGGGTCAGGGCTAGTGACACAAGTGAGGCCGACCTCGTCATTTCAGTCTCCCATCAGGTACAAAACAGGTGCCCACTGTGTCCTCCGGACAGAGCAGAACACCGATCGCTGTACAGGACCTCTGTGTGAGGTCCCGATGATGTGATCACTGATTGGCCAATCAGTGATCACATGAATAGTAGTAAGCAAGATGTCACTTCCTGACATTATTGCTTACTACTTCTGAAATCTGTGAATAATCACAGAGGTCACATGGTACAAGGCTATGCACAACAGCCTTGTACCATGTGACAAGCTATGACCAATCACAGCTCTCACAGTATTTCTCAATGGCTACAAGAATGCAGTCAGAGAGAATGATAAATGATTGCTTTTACAGTCTTTGTGGGTGTAAAGCAATCAGTGTAAAAAAAAATAAAAATCTTTATCACACCCCACAAGTAGTACAGTGTCACTATGGTGACACTGTACTGCTAGGGTGACAGTATGTTAAAAAAAAAACAACAAAATTTTGAAAAATTATCATTTTTGGTTATAAACTAATTTGGGATATTTATTTTTTACTAAAAAGATAGCTGAATACATTTTGGCCAAGATTTGGCCAAGAAAGATCATTTATTTGCAAAATTTTATAAGAATAACACTTTTTTTCAAAATGTTTGGACTTTTTCATTTATATAGCAAAAAAATAAAAATCCCAATGGTGAATAAATGCCACCAAAATAAAGTTTTATCTGTCTCAAACAAATGTCAAAAAAGTCATATGTCTACAGTGTTGCATGACCGCACAATTATTCAAAGTGTGATAGCGCTGAAAGATGTAAATTGGCCTGGAAAGAAAGGGGGTGAAAGTGTCCGGACTTGAAGTAGTTAAATAAACTTTAAAGTAGATTACAAATAATCAGAAGTTTCACAATTAGTTGCTTTTGGTCACCCTTTAAATTAATGTAGCTGTCTTTGAGCATTCTGCTTTAAATGTCATACATTTTACTAACAAAATACCAAAACGTCAATAAGAGTCTTAAAATTTAGGGCAATTATTTTATAATACAACTGAATGATTGCTGTCATTCTTTTTATGCAGCAACTAATGTTCTAAATATGGTACGCTGTTTACAAGGACAGTACTTAATAAGAATAGGAGGAATAAAGCTTTCAGCCTGTTGCATGCTGTCCATTTCTATTACCCATCTTTATATTGATGGGCTGTTTGCATTTGTTTATATTTTAGGAAACAGCATGATTTCTCAGAATTATCCAGCACATCTTGACTTTCTTCAATGTCAAAATATGAGAAAAAAATTCTGTTATTTTCCTAAACCTGGAAAGAAAATAAAGTGAAGCATGGGAGCATTAGGTTCTCTTTGGTGTGTAAAGTATAGATCGAAAGCAGACAAGAAAAATCTGGTTTTAAAAGTTGGTTACAGTCCAAATGCAAATGAGGTTTCACTGACAGATGGCAAGATAAACATAAATGTTTTCTGTAATTTTTTGGCTTCTGAGGGCGAGAAATTTTGAATGTTCACTGAGAAGATTGGCTGTGGTCTGCTATAAATAATTTCGGTGCTATCGTGGCATCGGTTATATATATGCTATTTAGCAAATTGGATTGTCTGGACGTTTAAAATGTGGGCACAACATTATTATTGCAGTCAAGGTGTAGTTTTGATAAAAATGCCAAAATTATGCTTTTTTACTTTTTTTAAATGCAGAAAACCTGCAAGTCAGACATTTGTTGAAACTTTATTTTGTACGCAATACTAAATTTGTATAAAAAGAAAAACTTGTCTGGTGTATATGATCTGGCTTCCATTTTAAGGGAAAATATTTTGGTTTTGGTTAGTTTTCTGTAAAATTAACTTTTTAATTCCAATTTGCAATTGATGTAATATTCTCAATCTGTCAAACATGAATTGGGCAATCTGGAGGTGTTTGGTTCACCATTCTTGTACAGAAACCTGCTAAAAATGTTATTCCTGCCTCTGCACCCCTACAATAGAAATGTCATTTTTTTTATGAGATACTCCTTCTAAGGGGATGCAGACACTGCTGTTATACTCAATCAAAACATTGAGATTTCACCAGGTGGTTATAATGAAGCACATCTCCCCATTCAGACGTTTGGAAAGGACATGGTGGAACAAACAGCTTGTTTTTTCAGAACAGAAAAAAAGAATCTGCAGCATGATTTGTTAAAATCATTTCAGTGTATATAGATTACCCAGTGGGATTGTTTTTTGGTTTAAAAAAAAAAGTGGAGTTACACTTTAAATGCTTTTTTGTTTGCACTTGTACAAGCTGATTGTTTATATAGTTTTTATAATTGTTTTCATAAAATCTTTGCAAAAAAAAAAAAAATCTAATATGGAGACACTGAAGATTTCCTCATCAGAGAATGGAAATTTTACCATGCGGTTATAATGAACCAGATCCTCTCATTCAGAATCAGCCTGGAAAAGGCCTGGTAAAACAGCTTTATTTTTAAGAACAGAAAAAAGGGTAGGAATCTGCAACATGATTTGTTAAAATCTTTTCAAAGTACTATATAGATTACCCAGCTGGATTGTTTTGTTATTTTTCAAAAAGAGTGAAGTTACACTTTAAATGCTTTTTAATGTTTGCGCTTATACAAACTTATCTTTTATGTTGTTTTATCATTTTTTTCATAAGATTTAAAAAAAAAAAAAAAAATCTAATATGGGGTATTTTATTAATCCCTTATTTACAGAGCATACTGGACTGCTTACTTTTTGCCTGCCTGTCCCTAACAGCGCCATATGAGCGAGAGACATCAAATGGGTGTGACCATAATTTTATTCATATCTGATTAGACAATAAAGTATACGTAATAAAAATCACTAAAATCTCATCGAATTTTTAACACCTTTGCGTAACTTCAATAGTCATTTTTAGATACTTCTTCACTGTAGGAATAGCTTCCCCACCTAATATACCCTGTCTACTGTTACAATCTATACTTTTCTCTTTTGACCCTGTCACTACAGAGAAGGTCACCTCTTTTCAGACACCCACCTAACTACCTGTCTTTTGGAACCTGTTGTCTCACAGCGTTCGCTCACAACATTCCACAGAAAATGCCCTACTAAAACTCACTAACAACTTACTAAATGCTGAATCCAATGGCCATTACTCCATACTTGTACTGTTGGGTCATTCTGCTGCCTCTGATATATATGACCATCCACTTCTCAAAAAACTCCATCCCCTTGGCATCCAAGACTCTTCTCCTTTCTGGTTCTCCCCCTACCCTTTCGTGTCACCTACAAATCTACCTCCTCCTCTCCACTTTCTCCTTCCGTAGGGGTCCCCCAAAGCTCTGTCTTTGGATCCCTTCTATTCTCTCTCTACACCTCTATTATAAAGAGCCTGCCTATCTTCAATTTTTTATTTATTTAATTAATTAATTTTTTAATCATTTTTATTATTTTTCAACTTTAGTTACACTTTAAATGGTTTGTCTCATCCCTCTAACTTTCACCCTTGCTGGACAGCGTGGTCTGTTAAAGAAGGTTAAAAAAACCAACATACTTGTTGCTGTGGTAATGTTAATGATAGACTGTATAATATACAGTATGCAATTTTTAATTTGGGCCATAATTACACTTTAAACCCTTTTCTAAAAAAATAAAATAACCATTGCTGTAACTTAAGTCAAATCTGCATATATTTTCTCTTCTGTGGTCCCCCCCTCCTCCGACCCTCAACATTCTATATTTTTTAATAAAACTTTTAAATTTTCCTTACATATCTCATTTTAGACTTTTTGATGTCATCATTGGGTCTGTATGATGTAAGGGGATCCTTTGTTATCCAAACAAATGGCAGTATCCCCAATGTTAACTAATGAAAGGATACAAAGTTACCATGTTGTCCCAATAGGGGCAACGGAAGTGTGGGGAGTTTTATATGCCACAATATCATACAACACAAAAATGTCAATAAAAACATGTCTTTTTATTATTTCCATATTAAAAAATCAATATAAAAGGTGTTTGTCATCAGTTATAATTACAGCACCAAAGTGTATGATAGAACATGCATAGATTATGTGGATCAACGCGTTTCGTTTGTCTCTAGGCAATACAGGAAAGTCATGGCTGGTGGGAGGTGCAGGGTGCTGTACTTGGCTTCTGGAAAACATCACAGCCCCCCGTCCCATTATACCTTTCAAGAGCCCTCAACCCTGAAGCAGACTGCATTTGCTTGAGACCACCCACCGAACATTTTGAAAAAAAAAAGATATTTTTTACTTTTGGCTATAAAAAATATATAGTAAACGCAAAGTTAGTCATAAATTTAGGCCAACATGTATTCTTCTACATGTTTTTGGTAAAAAAAAAAAAATCCCAATAAGTGTATATTGATTGCTTTGTGTGAAAGTTCTTTCCATTATTGAAAAAAACCTTAAATCCAGTGAATGAAAGGGGTGCATCAGGGACAGTCAGGTTGGGGAAAAAGGAGCTAGTTGATGCTGGACGTCGTTCAGCCAGGAAATGAGGTGAGCTCTATCTAACCTGCTGCAGCTCCTAATTCACACTGTGAAAGGCTCCGTGTTCAGTGAAATAAGAATAAGCAATTACGGTACAGGAGAATGACCTGCACAATTTTGCAAGACTGAAGCTAAGGTTGGGGCTTCACTTTGATGAGTTGTGGACACTGAGTGTTCTAAACATACTCAGAAAAACATAATTAACCACTTGCTCCCTGAGGATTTATCCCCCTTCCTGACAGGTCTTTTTTTGCTATACAGTGCTGCACTATTTCAACTGGTAATTGCGTGATCATGCAATGCTGTACCCAAACAAAATTTATGTCCATTTTTTTCACACAAATAGAGCTTTCTTTTGGTGGTATTTGATCACCTGTGTGTTTGTTATTTTTTGCGCTATAAACAAAAAAAGGCTGAAAATGTAAAAAAAAAAAGATGTTTTTACTTTTGGCTATAAAAGAATATATAGTAAACCCAAAGTTAGTCATACATTTATTTTCCCATTTCTGTCATGAAAAATATCCAAAAAAACTCAAATTTCATCATAAATTCAGGCCAAAAAGTATTCTGCTACATGTTTTTGGTAAAAAAAAATCCAAAAAGTGTATATTGATTGCTTTGTGTGAAAGTTATAGCATCTGCAAACTATAGTATAGATAATGGAATTTACACAGCTTTTACTTTCTGACTGCCTATCACATTTCTTGAGGTGCTAAAATACCAGAACAGCACAAACACCCCCAAGTGACCCCTTTTCATAAAGTAGACACCCTAAGCTATCTGCTAAGAGGCATATTGAGTCCATGGAAGAT